ATTTAGTTTGATGGAGACTACTTGACTATATACCATAGTTATGTTATAAACATTTAGTTTGATGGAGACTACTTGACTATATACCATAGTTATGTTATAAACATTTAGTTTGATGGAGACTACTTGACTGTAGACTATAGTTATGTTATAAACATCTAGTTTGATAGAGACTACTTGACCGTAGACTATAGTTAAGTTATAAACATCTAGTTTGATAGAGACTACTTGACCGTAGACTATAGTTATGTTATAAACATTTAGTTTGATGGAGACTACTTGACCGTAGACTATAGTTATGTTATAGACATTTAGTTTGATGGAGACTACTTGACTGTAGACTATAGTTATGTTATAAACATTTAGTTTGATGGAGTCCATCAAACTAAATGTTTATAACATAACTATAGTCTACAGTCAAGTAGTCTCCATCAAACTAAATGTCTATAACATAACTATAGTCTACGGTCAAGTAGTCTCCATCAAACTAAATGTTTATAACATAACTATAGTCTACAGTCAAGTAGTTTTCTTGACTGAAGACTATAGTTATGTTATAAACATTTAGTTTGATGGAGACTACTTGACTGTAGACTATAGTTATGTTATAAACATTTAGTTTGATGGAGACTACTTGACTGTAGACCATAGTTATGTTATAAACATTTAGTTTGATGGAGACTACTTGACTGTAGACTATAGTTATGTTATAAACATTTAGTTTGATGGAGACTACTTGACTGAAGACTATAGTTATGTTATAAACATTTAGTTTGATGGAGACTATTTGACTATAAACCATAGTTATGTTATAAACATTTAGTTTAATGGAGACTACTTGACTATAAACCATGGTTATGTTATAAACATTTAATTTGATGGAGATTCCATAACTGTATTTTATGGTTTGTAAGCTTCAACATATAAGGGATATGTACGTATAGGTGTGTGTGTGTTAAATATATAAATATATGTTAATTGAAAATGTTATTTAAACAATTACATCCAAAGTGACTAAAACAGGTTCATTGACCATGAGCAACTGTTCCCTTTATATTGCACTGTTACTGGAAAAGTTCTTGTTGGGGAGGTTTCTGTGGGTGTTTAGAAGTGATAAAAATCCATGAGAAATATCTTGGTGTTATGTGTTCTTGTTAGGGAGAAACAAACCAAAACTGTGGAGTGAGAATGTAACACAAAAGGTATCAGACTGGATATATATATACCTACTTTTCATGGTTGTAGCAAATGAAAGGTTTTTTTGTATTATTCTGTTACAGAACTGTTAAAGCTGGAACTTTACTGATAGACAGCAGTACCATTGACCCAGCAGTGTCAATAGAAATGGCCAGTTTAGCAGAGAAAAATGGAGCCGTATTCTTAGATGCACCAGTGTCTGGAGGTGAAGAGAATTTAATAATAAAAATCTTCAAATAATACCAGTAATAGGAATTTATAATAGGATTACAAAAAAAACAAATGTAAAGAAAAGTTCAAATATGTTTAGCATTTTTAAAAACTTTATTTAATATTCTACTTTACCAAAATAAATTCACTGTATTATCTTATTTTGCTTCAGTATTCCCCACCGTACTCTGTAATGTTTTCAGTACAACATTCCAAAGCTCCAAAGTATTTCATTAATTGTTAGAATTAAGTAGTACTTTGATTTTGTTCTTACCCGTATAATTGTTTTTGTAACCTGCAAAAAATTTCCTTCCACTAGTAGTTATAGTGAATCATTCACTTCTCACACAATCTCTCACAAAGAAGTAGAGAGAAATTAAAACAGTAATGAAAAGTATAATTTTTGTGGTCCCCAAAATAAGCAGATGTTTAGCATTGAGCTGGCATCCATCAGACCAGATATTGCATGACCTGGTTTGTTCTTACTTCCATTATACAATGAATGTGTTGTTAGTTATTGTGTTTGATTTGGAAAAACATACAAAGTAGTAATTAACATTTCTTGTAAAGCTAATACAGTATTTCAGACTTACCCACCAGCGAAGTATGTTGTTTTTTTATATAATGTATAAATTTCTTGTCAACATCTTATACATACCCAATTTGTTTTAAATATCTTATTTAAATGTACAGAAAGATGTATTTATTAAGTTGTGTAAAAATTGAGAGTTCGTGCCTAATAAATCATTTGAAAAGGTTTTAATAAACAGTGAAAACTGAGAGATTAAATTATCAATACTCAGGCATTCAGTTTATTTACGGTTTGATTTTATGAAAATTGTGCTGATATAGATTTTGAAAGTGTATGATACTTCCCAAATATTGCATTAAATTTTATTATTTCGATAGTTACACCAAACTTTTAATTTCTAGTTATACATAGTCTTATGTTTATATATTTTTTATTTACAATTATTTTAAATGTTTTGATTTATGGTATATATAGTTGTTGAATATTTTTGAAATTGTGGTAAAGTTTGGCCAATAGATGTCACTGTAGTAGTTTTTGATTGATCTAAGATTATAGGCCTAAGTTTCTACTTGAGAGTGTTCTCATACAAGGCATACTTAAAAGGTTTTTTTTATCTTTTAAAGCACACCTATAAATATGATTGAATAAAAAGATATAAAATTTCTTTTGTTCTTAGAATCCTTTAGATTTATCAATTAGTTACTGGACAGGATGGTAGTGGCTCAGTGTATTCATGTTTATGCTAGCTTAGAATAAACATGTTAACTGGTTTTAATTTTCAGAAAGTAAAAAATGATTAGTAAATTGTTGTAATGTTGTTTTTAGAAATTTATTTTTACCTTTTCTGATAAACCTCCATCTGTGTTGTCAATCTTCAAACAAACCAGTGACAGCTTGCTACATAACTTTTCCTTTCACTAGGTGTAAATGCTGCCAAGGGAGCAACTTTGACATTCATGGGTGGGGGGGAAGGAATCAGAGTTCCAGCCAGCAAAAGAGCTGCTAGATTTCATGGGAAAGAACGTTATTCACTGTGGAGATGTGGGAACGGGCCAAGCAGCAAAGATATGTAACAATATGACGTTAGCTATCTCTATGATAGGAACAGCTGAAGCAATGAACTTGGGTATAAAGTAAGTACATTTAGTTGTTCTTGTTACTGTAAACAAGTAAAGGTGTTGGAACAGGTACATAATGATAGCAATAGCTGAACCTGTGAACTTGGGGATGATGTTACTTTTGTCATGATTTTATAAAAATAAGAAAGTTCAGAGATAAGTGTGAAGTCCATCAGGTGAGCTCAAGTTCAGAGATAAGTGTGAAGTCCATCAGGTGAGCTCAAGTTCAGAGATAAGTGTGAAGTCCATCAG